AACAGGTCTGGGTCTGTGTGCCCCAGGACATGCTCACACGGAACATGTAAGTGACAACAAGTTCCGGTTAAACACAGGACTGCAGCTCTGCAGAGAGGGCTCCGGTTCAAACACAGATTCTGACTCGGCAGGTCTAGGGTGAGGCGGGAGCTCCCCCCCCATTCCTAACCTGCTCCCTGGGGACGGGAGCCCACATTCTGCGACTGCAGGAAACCTTCACCTGCATGGAAACCTGGAAAAGATCCCTCAGTCCCACCCTGAAGCCGGGATACTGGATACAGTCAGTGGCACCTGTATCCACTCTGCGTCCCTCCTGAGTCCCTGATCGTCAGCTACTCACAAGGCCATGACCCTGCCCTGCCTGCACCTCCAGACCCACCACAGACAGTTCAGCTCTGATTCCCCTCCCATTTGCTTCAACCTAGGAATCAGACCCGGGTCTCCTGCATTGCAGGCAGATTCTTTACCATCTGAGCTACTGGGGAAGCCCCCAAGATGGTTTTTATGTCTGACTCTTTGCGACCCCATCGACTGTATGTAGCTCTCCAGACTCCTCTATTCATGGAATTCTCCAGGCAAGAATACTGGAGTGGATTGCCATTCCCTTCTCCAGGGGATCTTCCCGACCCAGGGATCGAATCTGTCGCTCCTGCATCGCAGGTGGATTCTTTACTGTCTGAGCTAGCAGGGAAGCCCAGCTTCAACAATCCTGCAATACAAATCCACCCTCTGCATTTTCAAGATCTACACACCCCACCTCTGTCTGTCAAAGGCCCCCTCGGGGTCAGGAGGAGACCGTCCCCATGAATGCAGCCTGGTCCCTTGTTTCCATGGCTCGTGCTGGCTCTGCCAAGGAAGCAAGGATGCACACACAGAGATGGAAGCCAGGAGAGGAGGTGTGGGTGATAAGTATCGAAGGAGTAGTAGCAAAAAGGAGGATTTATTCCAGCTGCCTGAGCTGCAGGCCCCTGCTCCCTGCAGCTGAGCCCTGAGAGTGCCACAGCCGTGCAGTTAACTGTGATGCCCCTGTACCCAGACAGATCTGCAACAGCCTGCCGGCCCAAGGGGCTCTCAGTTAAACTAAGTAGATATATCTGTGTGTGTGCACAAATACACACACACGCATACACATGCACACAGTTTAAAACATTAAATCTGAATATCCTTTGTCTCTACACGATAGTAAATAAAGGCATTTGGTGTTTGGAAATGCAATAAAACAAGGCATGTTGTACACTTTCTCTAAGAGAAGAGAGACTGCTCTTCTTGAGCAGCCATCTGCCCCTCCGCATCTCTGCTTGCTGCACTGCAGTGGGTGAACGCATCTATGCCCTGCACTCAACACTGCTCTGTGATGTAACTCATCTCCCAGCCAGGCTGTGAGGTCTCGTCCTGGGCTCCCCACTCCCAGAATGATCCTTTCTACCCCACGGAGCTCAGTGAAGCAAAGATGCCAGTTACAGGGAAGGAAGGGCTGGCCTCTTCTGTTGTTAGTATCTTAACTTTACCTGACACCACCGCAGTAGGTGGAATGATGGTTCTCAGTGATGTCACAGCCTAACCCCTAAAACCTGTGAAAATGCTCCTGTACATCATAGGAGGGACCTTAAAGGTGTGATTAAGTGAAGGACTCTGAGACAGCAGAGACCATCCTATCCTGGGTTATCCTGTGTCCCCACGATAATCAGACATCCCAAGGCAGAAATGTCAGAGGGAGGGATGGAGGTGATACCTGCTGACTTTATATTGTTTAATATTTAGAAGCTTCATATTTAAACAGATTTCACAATGAAAACTATGATATATATTCATTTTTGCATAGAAATATGATAGAGTTATCAACAATAGAATTTTAATTTGTATTTATTTTTAATTGGAGGATAATTGCTTTACAATATGGCATTAGTTTCTGCCACACATCCACATGAATCAGCCATATGTATACATACGTCTGGGCTTCCCCGGTGGCTCAGTGGTAAAGAATCTGCCACAATGCAGGAGATGCAGGTTCAATCTTTGGGTCAGGAAGAGCCCCTGGAGAAGGGAATGGCAACCCACTCCAGTATTCTTGCCTGGAGAATCCCATGGACAGAGAAGCCTGGCGGGTCACAGTCCATGGGGTCACAAAGAGTTGGTCGCTACACAACATGACATACATATGTCCGCTCCGTCACCTCCCATGCCATCCTGTCTCTCTAGGTCATCACAGGGCACCAGGTTTGAGTTCCCTTGCATCATAGAGCAGATTCCCACTAGCTATCTACTTTTGCATATGGTAATATACATGTTTCAGGGCTACTCTATTTGTCCTGCCTGCTGACTTTACAGGTGAAAAAAAGCACCAAGAGCCAAGGAACAGAGGACCCTCCAGAAACTGACAAAGCCTGGGAACTGGACTCCTCAGAGCTTCCTGAAGGGAGAGGGCCTTGCTGAAACCTCTGCTCTAGCCCAGCAACACAGGGAAATAGAATGTGCCAGTCTGTGCCACTTTAAGCCACTGAGTTTGCAGTAATTTGTTACAGTAGCAATGGGAAGATAACACAACTTCATTTGGAAATAAATTAACCCAAGTGAGACTCCTCCCACACCCTGCTTGGAGAAGATCCCCCTTCCCCCGGAGTCTATTGCCCTTTCTTGTATCACAAGGAATGACACAGATTTTGTAACAAGGTGGGAAATGTATTTGCCATCCTGCCTAATCAGTTTATTCTGGGGTGTCTTCATTTAGTTCTTTATTTTTGAGAGATATTCTTTCAGGGGTAAAAATAGAGTAAAGCAGGATGTGAGAGAAAGAGGTGATGCTCAGCATAATTAGCCAAGTGTCAGTATTATTGAGGGCATTTGGGATGTCAGCGCGGCAGCTGGTCAGAAACGGCACACTTCTGTTCAGAGCAACAGGAGACACCGCGTCTCCTCCGAAGCTAGGACGCAGCCACAGACTCTCTGGTTTGCTCCTCAGGCAGTGAGTCTAGACAGCACCATCCAACGAGGCCTGGAGAATGAGTCTTCACTATGGCAGCAGGCAAGCAGCCTCACACTTTCTGAGTAAATGCAAAGCTTCGAATGAGGTGATAGAGTATAGGGAATGGAGGGCCTTCCACTAACTCGGTCAAAAGTCCATTAACTCTTGAAAAAAAAAAAGAAAACATGATCTGAAAGCATACATGCACAGTAGCACAAGTAGCCAAGACACAGAAGCAGCCTGTATGTCCACTGACAGAGGGATGGATAAAGATGTGATACATGTATACAACGGAATGACAGCCCGTAAAAAGAATGAAATAATACCATTTGCAGCAACATGGATGGACCAAGAGACTGTCATACTGAGTGAAGTAAGTCAGACGGAGAAGGAGAAATATCATATGGCATCCCTTATCTGTGGAATCTAAAAAGAAATGACATAAACTTACATGCAAAATAGAAAGAGACTCAGAGACTTAGAGAATGAACTTATGGTTCCAGGGGAAAGGGATAGTTAGGGAGTTTGGGATGGGCATGTACACGCTGCTATATTTAAAATGAATAACCAATAAGGACCTACTGTGGAGCACATGGAACTCTGCTCAATGTCATGTGGCAGGCTGCTTGGGAGGGGGATTTGGAGAAGAATCGATAGATGTATATGTATGGCTGAGCCCCTTCACTGCTCACCTGAAATTACCACAATATTGTTAATTGGCTATAACACAATACAAAATAAAAAGTTTTTTAAAAAGTCCATTAACCCTTGAAACACAAACAGCATCCAGCCTCTGTGTACACAGGCACGTGCCTTCTGCAGCTCCGCAGTCTACAGCAGACACTCAAAGAGATGCATGATCCCGAAACAAGGGTTCAGAACAACCAGTGCTCCTTCATCGTCATATTTTATTTAAGAGGTTCCACACAGACAGTGTTCTGTGGAGAAGCTGTGAAATGTGCTATTTCTATTCTCCCGAGCTCGTGACTCAGCTGGTGCCTCCAGCCAAATAGTCACACGGCAGGATCTTGGCAGATCCTGCAGGTCAGGCGGGGGGATGAGCAGGTGAGGGTCCCCGGGAGCATGGCAGTGGCTGCAGCCCGGTGGCCAGCTCCCCGTCACCGCAGTTCTTCATGCTGCCGGGAAGGTTTCTGAGCTGGATACACTGACTTCCCATAAAAAATGTGCAAGGTAAGTCTCCACACAGTTCTTGGAGAATACAACACCAGTGGCAGAGACACGGACTCTGGGAAAGAATATACATCATGGGGTGGTGGGGGCAGAGAGATTGACTACCTTTACTCTGAAATTTAAATGAACGACTGATAATCCATTGATGGGTTTCCTGATGGTTCAGTGGTAAAGAATCCATCTGCCAGTGCAGGAGATGCAAGTTTCAATTCCTGGGTTGGGAAGATCCCCTGGGGAAGGAAATAGCAACCCACTCCAGTTTTCTTGCCTGGGACATCCCATGGACAGAGGAGCCTGGCAGGCTACAGTCCCAGGGGTCACAAAGAGTAGGACATGACTTACCAACCAAACAACAACAATCCATTGCTACTAAGAAACATGCATTTAGGTCTAGAAAGTGTTCATCCATAGCTCCATCTCTTCTACCTCCTTGACTGACTGTATAAAACATACCTAGAACTACATTGAAAATTAAATACCGATTTGGTTTTCTTCACAAATCAAATATCCGAAAAGCGAAGGTGGGGGTCTAAAACTGCTTATACTAAAGGTAACAACCCAGTGAGTTAATCTCACCATCCAATCAGCACGGCGGATCTATGAAGACAGGGGCTGGCAGTTACAGTTCCCGGGCTACACAGGGTCTGCCACCTGCTCTGTGCATGCCAGTGGCTAAAAATGGTTTTTACATTTTTAAACTGCTGGAAAACAAACAAACAAAACAAAAGCAGACTATTTGATGACACGTAAAATGAATTGGAATTGTCCGCAAATAAAGTTTTCCAGGGACCCAGCCATGCTCACAGCTTCCGGGCAGTTTCATGGCTGCTTTTGTGCTAAACCACAGAGCCAGTGGCTGCGCCAGAGGCACACGACCCCCAGGGCTGGGTCACTTTCTGCCCTGCACGGGTGGAGATGCCGCGCTACAGGCGAAGAGCTCGGGCTGTAGACCTGGGCTACCTGGTCCCCATCTGCTCTACCACATAGAGACCCTGTGGCCTCAGGCGAGTCACCCAAGCCACCTGCGCTGGTTCCTCCCCAAGGCTCCCTTGTGGGGTGGCCGCATGGACGGGGAGAGGAAGAGGCAGCATGAGGCGCCACACCCGAGGAAGCAGCAGAGCAGTTATCATCAATCGCTGTTTGTTATGACCGTGGTCACATGGATGTACCTGCTCCAACTCTCCCGGAAATCACGGCTGACACTAATTGATATTGTCACCTACTTGGAAAATTATCTTTTCATTAATGGGTCATAATATTTTTGAAAGTTGATCCGGTCTCCTTCCCAAATGAAGACGGTGATCAATCACCGCGGCACCGTAATGGCCATTAATTAGAAGTTTAGCTCAAAGGACTGTCATTTTAAATGTTGGTCTCTTGTTTTAGCCTCGTATTTCAAAACCATTTTCAAAAATGCATCCGTGTTGGGGACACTGCCGAGTGACAGGATGCACTCCAGACTCTGCTCCCTCTCTGACAGATAATTACACCGGGACCCATGGGGGTCAGGAGACTTCCTTGAAGCAACTGGCAAGCTTTAATTACTGCAAGCACTCACAGACTTGTATTTGGACTTTCGCTTTGCATGAGTCCACCTGCAGGTGTTTTCAAACAAAAAGCTTTAAACTTATTGGTCTGACCTAAAATTCAAACTAGTTTCAAGTTCTACATATAAACCACTTACCCCGACAATTCCTCTTGGCTATGATGCTCTTGTTTCATTTAGAAATGCCACAAATACATAATCCAGTTAATGCATTAAATATGAAAAGACTTGCTGAAGAGACTCAATTTATTAATGATTCAGTAGAAGTTCCTAAAACATCTATTTGGAATTCATTTATAATTCATTTCACAGCTTAGCAGTGCTTCCCACAGGGCAAATATTTATCAAATATTACTCTGTTTTAAGTTCTCCTTTTACGTTTATTTGTAGAAGAATACATTTTTTTCCCCAAATTAAGGCTAAACTTCCTAAAAGCATCCATCCATCTATTGTAATTTAATGTACAATTCCTGATAAGGGGACAGTAATAGGTTTTCAGATATAACAGAGTACAATGTGCAACCAAACAAAAGAACAGTTATTAACCATAATAGTTGGCTGTAAACTGAACACGATACACACTGAGTACATCATAAATATTTATTAGAGAGTAACCATGGTAATTAATATACACCGTAATCCACCGCAACCCACTCCAGTATTCTTGTCTGGAGATTCCCATGGACAGAGGAGCCCGGCAGGCTACAGTCCATGGGGTTGCAACGAGTCGGACACAACTGAAGTGACTTAGCACTCAGCACGCATATAATCAAGGAGAAGTAGTATCTTAAAGTCTTGCCATTATAAGAAAAACTTCACAGCTCACCTACCAATGAACTACACACAACTGAATCCATATTTCAGTATGCAAATCAGAATACCTGGCCTGACTAGTCCTGGCAGAATGCAGAATATCTTGACACAGACTGCCATGCCCCACTCTCCAACACTGAAAATGACGGTCCTTAATTTCAATGGCTCATCATAGCTCTGAAGTAACAGCTAAAACGAGAGCAAAACATCTAAGTGTAAACTAGCTGTCTAACTATGTAAGTGTAAAGAATCTACCTGCAGTGCAGGAGACCTGGGTTCGATCCCTGGATCAGGAAGATCCCTTGGAGAAGGGCATGGTAACCCACTCCAGGATTCTTGCCTGGAGAATCCCCATGGACAGAAGATGGACTACAGCCCATGGGGTCGCAAAGAGTCAGACACAACTGACCGTCTAGGCACACAAACTACCTGTGACACTCTGAACTTCAGTTCTCCATGCCGACTATAAAGAAGAAATAACACCTACCTAGAAGGGCTATTGTGTAACTAGACTTATGGTGGTGATGCTTGCAGAACATAAACAAATCTTGAATCATGTTGTGCACCTAAAACTAATATTGATACAATGCTACACGTCAACTATATCTCAATAAAAAATTAGCAAAAGAGTTGCTGGGAAGATAAAGATGAGATCTATGACATACTTAACTAGGTACCTGGAACAAGCCCCATATTCAGTACCTGGGTCTTCTCACTCTACTAGGACTGTGTCTCTGACACTGGAGGCCAAACACGATCACATTCACTATTGTCACTACTATTACTACAACCACAAAGCAACCATTGCTGCATCCCACTCCTCTCGGCCAAGAAGCAACCTAGTGGTCACAGGTAATAATTCAGACTCTTTGGATCTAAACATATAAGGCCCAATAGGATAATTACAAAACAAACAAAATAGATAGTAACAAATGTTGGCAAGGATGTAGAGAAACTGGAACCTTTGTGAGAGGTTCCAATGAGAATGTAACATGGTGCAGCCACTTTGGAGAACAATTTTAAACAGACAAATACCATAAGACCCAGGAATTCCACTCCTAGATGTGTACCTGAGTGAAGCGAAAGCATGCATGCACACAAAAACACACCCAGATATTCACAGCAGCATTATTAAAATAGCCAAAAGGGGAAACAACCCAAATGTCTATCGGTGATGAATGAACACAACGTGATACATCCATACAATGGAATACTATTCAGAAATAAAAAAAGGATAAAATACTGATGCATGCTACAACTTGGATGAAACCTTCAAAACATTATAGCAAGTGAAAGAGGCCAGACACACCGGGTCATATATTACACATTCCAGCTGCTGTGAGGATACACTAGTGCATAAAAAGCCCTGAGAAAAGTGTCTGACACCATCATCACTATCATATTAAGATTGTGCCCGTGGTACATCACACATGCTCTGCCAGCATCCCCAGGGATTCCAGAAGACTCGCTGTTTTGTTCCCCGGGGAGCCTGGGCTCGTCTCCTCTCCTTCTACAGCTGGTGGTTACTTCCCTGATCCCCAGGGCCCCTGGGAGAGCAGCCCAGAGCACCTGCACTGACCAGTAAGCATGGTGGTGGCCACCGAGGCCCTAGAAGGAGCCGGGCACAGTTTCAGGAGTTTGGCGAGGCTCCTTATCCCGATGCTTATAGTCAACCTCCCAGGTGGGCACTGCGGGCCACTGCTCTCCAGAGGGGGCAAGTGCAAATACGTCAGGTAACCAACTAACTTGGTTAAACAGGAGTCAGAGCTGGAATGAAACCCCACCAGGGTGACCTAGGGCGCTTTCCAGTGCAGAAGGCCACCTTAGATTTCCTGGCAGCTGAGCTCAAGGGGAGAGTGCTCTGTGACTAACACACTGGACTCCCATTCAAAATAGGAGGGTTTTAGGGTATACTCCATGCCACTGAGCACCCCTGCACTCACCCGTTCATTCACACATACACTCAGCATCCATCACTGCCAGGGATAAAGACAGTCCTTGAGGATACTGACTTCAAAAGAGAATCAACACATTCCTAAAGGCACAGGCAGATGCCTCGGGGCAAGAGAAGATAGGGAAAGAAACTAATTTCCCTACTTGCAAAGACAGCCTCACCCTCCACCTGTAAACACCTTGAACAAGAATTCAGAGGAAAAACCTGATGCTCATTTTCAATGCCCTGTATCTTTGGGAACACTGCTTTCAGGACTTGAAGCCATGCTTTTGAGTCTTCTCTGTATAATCTATTTCTATTCAGACAACTGGGCCAGCCCCCAGACCATCTCCTCCCCTCCACCTCCGGGGGCAGGAGGAGCATGTACCCAACCGCCTGGGGAGGGTCAAGGGAGGGGGCAAGGCAGCAAGTGCTGCAGGAGGTCAGAGGCTCCTTGAGGGACCTCAAGTTCTCCACAAGCCCCAAGACATTTCAAGACAGATATATTCTTGCAGACCTAAGGGTGTGTGGAAGCAATTCACCACACATTTTCTAAAGCCCCATGTCACATCTTAATTTAGCCCTAAAATCCTAAAGGGATTTCCATTATGCCCACAGCATGGAGGTAACGTTAGGGTTCTAATCTCTTCAGAAGTACTAGATACTTTTCAACTTTTTTCCCACTAATAAAGGACAAAGCAACTTCCATGAAAGAAAAAGAAGACACATGAAATATTTCTTTGGAAGGATCAGTGAAATCTTAAAGAGATTTTAAAAGTTCAAAGCTGAGATAGTAAATAAAGAAGTATACTAAATATACTTTAGGAGATAAAGATTTTCAAATGGTATTTTCAAATGATATTTCAAAAGGTATTACTAACCCAATGTGATCACACAATAAGCTGGCAAATATGTTCAATTGGATACTATTGTATTATGTATTTTAGGAATCATAAGAAAATAATTTATCAATTAAAATTCTAAATAATATTTGATGTACTATCAGATTAAGCTTTTCCTAGAAAGGCAGTGATTTTATAATGAAAGTTAAGTAAGAATATAAAGAAAAAAAATGATGCTCATTTTCCGTAATGAAATATTACTGAATTTATAATAATGAGATCCAAAGATCATTCCCACAGTAAGTACTATAATGAGAGTAAACAATAAAAAGCTACAAATAAGAATTTATTATGTTTAAAATTAAATTTAATGTAAACATTAATAACAATGTATGTGGGATAGAGCACCTATAACATATTCCTGAATAGCATTTAGCACAGTTATTGTTTTCACCTGTCAGAAAAATAAAGGACATTGCCAATATCTGCTCTTGATAACCTATGGCCAAGCCAAATGCTCACCTCTATATTTTACTAATATATATATATATATTGATTATTCTCTATGAGATGAATTAGAAGTTATTTTCAAATTAGGCATAGAGCAAATAAGATTTCTTTTCAATTATATCCAACTTTATATCCAACTTAAATATATCTTTATTAATAAAACCTATAAATATTCATTGACTTCAATGTTTTATTAATATGAAAATAAAATGTGTTTGGGTGAAAAATGTATTTTGAACTGTCATATGCTGTAGAAGATTTATTGAATTCCACAGTTGCTTTCACCTGTCTATATAAAAAAATGAAAGGCTTTCACTTAAGGATAATTTAATTTCGAAGATGTGTATATTTTTTAAAAAACATAGATGTCACAACAAGGATGGTATAGAAATCTGTGAATCGATTTTCACTTCAAAATCAAATCTTTTGTTTGACTAGTAGAGAACAAGGAGGTAATCATTCTTAACGATAATAGTTTCAAGAAAAATCTGATGATACCAACAAAAAGAAGCTTTTTTTAAAAAGGAACAAAATTTATGACATCTAAGCAGCGAGTCTAGTCAAGGCTATGGTTTTTCCAGTGGTCATGTATGGATGTGAGAGTTGGACTGT